TTTCTGCATGTCCAGTGGCATTTGTTTGTGATGAAAGCTTCGAGCTGCTTCTCGCTTTGCTGCCCAATCAACGAATTCGTTGTAGGGATCTCCAGCGTGGGATCTGACATGATGAAGACGTAGATGCCCCTCCGGAAGTCCGTGCTCCAGACATTGGAAGATACCTCTCAGTAGACGGTATGACTCATCGGCAGAGCTGACTCCCATATAGCCGAAGGCCTGATTTCCACAAGTCAAGGAGTCGCAGCAAAAAATTGTGGGCATGGTGGTGTTCTGCGTCAACCGCCAAAGTCCCGCCCAGATGAGAGCGTCGCGTTCAGCTACTTCCGCTCCGATGCGGCAAGCATGTGTGAAGCAGGTTCCATGGGGGTCATAGTGTACCGGATGTGCACACCATCCAATCGGTTCAACTGCAGAGTCCCCATTTGGCAGGAAAGTTTCTCCGAGTACAAGCATGGCCCATGTATCTGGATGGCCCAATTCATCTGCTTGTTGGGGCGCCATTCTCCGCAAGTTAGACTGTGATGAGCCATCCGTGTATATGAGCCATCTGTCATATTTGGCTTGAGTCTTGGGTTGGCAGACCGCTTCTTGTATGAAGTCTGGCAGGTCCAAGTCATCAAATGTGGAGTTGAGAAACTCGGTGCCTGCAGCCATGAGTTCGAGCACATCCTTGTATACAAACTCGGTTTCAACAGAATGAGCAACATCATCTGCCTTGTTGTTTCGAGGTGGAAAAAGTGGGTCTTCTGGTGTTGCTGTTGTTTGTTGGTCAGGCCATGCACTTCGGACCTTCATTGGTGTGGATCGACTCTCAAATTGAGGATCATTGTTGCAGAAGGTCACGCGTGTGTGGCTTAGTCCTACATCTTCAATTGACAGGACGACAGCTCTGGAATACCCCAGAGTGTCCAACAAGGCCATCAAACCAACAGCATCAAGGGCCCGTCCATGTGAGTGCAAAATGCATCCATCGATGTCACTGATGTCATCATTGCATAGAACATAATGGTGTCCTTCTGTTATGGATTGGACGCAAAGAAATTGTTCATGCTGTCCAAATTGTATGGCTTTGCATTGGACGCCCCAATGGAGAAGTTCTTGTTCAACTTGGGCTTCCGTTGGCGGGCTATCAATCTCCAGGAAAGACGGGATGATGAGATCAGCATGACCTGGGCGAAGTCGTACTGCACATTTGGTGGTTTTCGGCATGATGAGCTGATCAAGTTCCAGCCTGAGACAGTCCTCTGGCCCATGGGCATGAGCCACCGCTCCATGTGTTAGGCGCTCAGAGGCTGCTCGGATAATATGGGTTCGAGTTTGCATGAGACCCAAACCTTCCGTTCCGGGAACGGCTGGTGCGATTGGAGGCATCCATCCCAATGGCAAGTTCTGTCGATAAACCAAGAGATGCAAGCCCTTCCCATGTCTGGTTGGAAATGGTTCTGTCGGTCCAAAGGCTTGTGTACCCGAACGTAGTGTGAAGGCCGCTTGTTCGGTGACATAACTGGAAATGTCGAGAACCTGATGGAGGTGTCCTGGATTGGGAAGGTTGACCGCTAGTCTGAATGGCAGAGCATCATTGACCGCGTTGTCTTGGACAGTGAGTAGTACACCAGAGTGTTGGTCCATGAACAACTGGGTGAGAATGATGTGCGCAGCAATGCCGGGTTCCATGGAAGAGGGAGCAGGTTGAACAACATGAATTTCAACCGGGATGCCCGGTAGTACTTGGTCTCTCCATAGGAATACCAGACGATCCCTCCATTCAGTGACATCATCATTGAGAACAGTGCGTCTGGCATAAAGGCATCGTTGAATGCCTCCTCCTGGACAAAGAAACCAGACTAGAAATTCAGCAGTGGGTGAATCATCTTGCCAATTGGTGGCTCCCGTTTGCCAAACCGTATGCAGGGCCTGTATGTCCGCTGGTTGGTCCCAGAAGTTTTGCCGATCCGGACGAAACGGTGGTGCAAATGGGTTCAATGTGGCAGTTGCATAGTTCTCACATTCATGCCCTCCACCTGTCATATCGAGTGCAGTCTGTATCGGTTTGGCCTTTGATGTCTGCATCAGGTCGACAGTATCAAACTCACTCCGCTGTGACAGTGTTTGGAGGTTGATGACGATGTTGAGCGCAGGGTCTAATTCCTCAAAGTCAACCAAGGCAATTGGAAAGTCCCTTAAAGTGACCCTGCATTGGACATCCCGGCATGCTGTAGTCAACTCTGTAAGGCGTAGCACACCTGCCGCATTTTGCAATGTTGTAGTAGAGAAGGCTCTGTGATCCCACGCATCGGCTGTACGTCGCTCATCAAGAATGCTGATCAAGCAGATGGTATGGTGCGGTCGTTCTGATTGCTCAATGATAACATGTGCTTGAACACATTCGAAGCGACTACAGGCCGGAGTTGGTTGTACAACATGGATCGTGAATTCCTGTTCAGGATCCAAGGCTTCCCTCCAAGAGTCAGCAATGTCCTCAATCCATGTGGTAGAATCTGCTTGAAGTCTGGCCGGTCTGCCATCATAGCATCGTGGGCGTTGATGATGGTGAATGAACCATGTCGTGATGTACATGATGCGGCCTTCTTCATCGCATTCTATGAGATCAGCTTGTTCACAGAGCCTAATCAATTTCCATTCATGGCCCTCCGCAAATCTGCCACGTTGTCGCTGTGGCACTTGCCGAGGTGTCATGGCAGGTCGTTGTGGACGTTCATTGTCAATCAGAGTGATTGTAGGATCCCATTCATGGCGTTCTGTCTGGGCAGCCGATGATAGTTGGCGCATCGAAAGGGCCAATGTTCTTTGGCGGCACATGGCAGCAATGTCGTTGCGCTCAGGTTCTTCTTCATTGGCGAGCTCTCTGGCGAGCGCGATTGCGATTTCTGTGTCCATCGTGGGATCTTGTGGTGGTGGAATTTGAAGCCTCAAGTACATCCCATGAGCCATAGTATGTGTTCTGCCGTCGTTTGCTGCCCAAAGTTCATTGTTCTTGAAAAGGGTGCAGCGGTCATGCTGTAGCCGGCAGTACTCATAGAAGCCAGTGAGAAGAAGGAGTTGGTCTCGATGCAGCGTAGGGTTCACTTTGATGACCTTACGACTGGTTGCTGCAGGGACCAAAAGTCCTCCTCTGAGAGGATGAAAGTGTATCTCAATATCCAATAGCACTAGCTTCTCATCTGATCCTGTGGCTATGTCATGGATGGATTGTAAAATGATGGCTTCCTCAGCTTCTGGTTGAACCCCTGTGGGTGTAGCAGGTACATAGTGAAAGCATCTGATTTCTCTTCGTCGCACTCGGCAAGCTCTGATGGCTCCCTCAAGGATCGCAACATAGGTTGAACAGGGCGTGAAGCAGTGTGCATCAGGCGCTGAAAGACGGTAGATGAGCAGGCCAATGTCACCGCTGTGAATGCTGCTGCTCTCATAGTCGTTTGGCTCAGGCACCGTGAGTTCCGCCTCTTCTTCTTCTAAATAATCTTCAACTTCAGGTTGTTGCATGAGTGAAGTCTCATCAATTTCTGGGAATTGTCTCTTGCGCGGCCTGGCATTGGACGAGCTTGCAGCGTTGTCATTCTGAATCGCGTCGATGATGTTGATGTTGAAGGCATGTCCATGATTCACCTCATGGGTCGGCGCGATGGTGAAAGGAATGTCATGCCACTCGTAACTTGTTCTACAGTTGATGTCAGGCTGATTGCACCATTCAAGCACTCTTGATGCCTCAGCCAGAGCAATGCCACCAATTCTGCGTGGAAGCGAGCAAGCGACAGCATAAGAATGTGGCGGATGATGTCGATGGTAATGATGAATTGTAGATAGTGCGGAGAACCGATGGAGCCAATGACCCTGCGAAATAATCACATCAGCATGGGCAGGCCTGTTCAAATAACCCCTGAAGGAGTCTGGGAAGACCACGTGAATCATGATGATTTCATTTGGTCGAACGTGGTCCCTCCAGGCGCGTCCAATGTCGGCCTCCCATCGTCTCCAATCCTCCTCAAATTCGAGAAAGCGTGGCTCTTCACAATAACGCGCATCTTGATGATGAAGGTACCACGTACGAAGTCTCATTGCACCATCTTGATCAAGGTCTGTGAAAACTCGATGTCTCTCTGCAAGTTCAAACAAATCATGGATGAATCTGGGTGCACCAATCGGATCCGGGATGACGTCGGGATCCGGTTCCTGGTCATCTCCTTGTCCATGTTGCTGAACTTCATCAGGAAGAGGTTGATGCCATTGGTCTGTGATCCGTAGGCACGAAGGTTTGTGGGTCTGCTGGCTCAACACAGTCGCATCGGGCTGCGGTTCCAAAGCTGACCTATTCATTTTCGCAGGTTTGTAGTGGTCCTGCTTGTGATCATAATGCCAGGTGTCATCGCTGTAAAACCATCCCCAAGGTTTCAGGCTGGCTTGGCATAGATCTTGATGTTGAATGGATGTGGACCCCATTGTCAGGCAATCATCCATGCCAATGAAGACTTCAATCTCATCGCAAAAACGAAGTGACCGACTGTCCTTGGTTCGGTCTCCTTTGAAAGCAATGTCAAAATCCTTGGTGCCAGGAATACTGTGGCAGCTCCTCAAAGCTGACAACGTGCAGAGTTCAAATGAAAGCTCCAAAGCACGTGATGAGGCAACCCAAGGCGATAAGAAGTCCTCTTCAGACACGATCGAATGCGTCCAACCAACTGTGAAGTCCACCAAATGTGGCGACGTGGCGGGCTGTCCACAGGGATACTCAGGAGTCATCCACTGTGAGCCCCGCCAAAAGGCTGCATAGACTGTGAAGCCAAGGGCTTGGAGCCTGCTGGTGCGGCCTCCTTTGATTCTTCTTTTCTTTGACGCTTCTTTTGCTGTTCTTCCGCAGCTGCATGCTCCTGGTCATATACATATATATATATATATAATATTACTATATATCCTACATATACACACTATTTTGGCACCTTCTGCTAATCATCAATGGCCTTGTCGAAATTGTCGTTCAGGGGACCAGATCTGCCCGACGCTTCGACGGCTTCAACGGTTCCAATGGCAGCAGCCCCAGCAGCTGCAACTGCAGAGGGAGAGGAGGCAGCAGCGCAGTTGTGCGAAATGGGTCGCTTGGTGTGACGCGAAGGTGGGAACAGGTCGGGGGAACCAAACAACACAAAGCTAGGAACGGCTATTCGCTCTTTCCAAGAGACCATAATGTTTCTTACATGTTTACAAATAATCATCCAGAAATCCATTCCGAAGAGAGGACGGCACTTTGTCGACCGCAGACCAATTTTCTTGGTTGCTTTCCTTTTTGGTTTATTGCGGAGGCAATTTTGAGAAATGAGGTGAGATTTGTCAGTCCAGTGCAGACTTTTCACTTGGGATGATTTAGGTGTGAAACTGTTGTGAAGCATTTGTAGCCAACTCAGCCAAGAATCGCAACTTGCTCAAACTCAAGCTGAATCTCTGAATGCGTAGAAGCTTCAAGTCTGACAGAGTCTTGTCGACATTGTCGTGCTTGCTCCACCCAGTTTCATGGGCAAGCCGAGGCTTTGAAAGAGCAAAGGATTCTTGGCGTCACAGACGTGGTTGCAATTGAGAAGAGGAATGTGTTTTTACGAGGCAAATGTATCAATCGACAGAGGTAGACTATGCGTGGCGGCAATTTTGCAAAGTGCACACAGAAGATGAATGGCATAGGTGGCTATACCAATGTGATATATCAGCGAGTATTTGGTTCAATGCAGCCTTAAAGACATGGGGACCAAGCATTTTAAGCATGAAAAGATCGAGAACGGCACCACACAAGGCATTCAGCGGACAAACTCCCAGTGGCTACCCACACCAGTGTTAGGTGATGGAGTGCCTTAGAGCTGCTTGCAACGATCGGCAAAAAGCTGCAGAGTGCCTGGGCTGCCCATGCTGCAGTTCCCGTAAGACCAATGTTGCCAATGAGGGATTCATGGAAATTCAATGATTTTCATCTATGTCACTTGTTGAATCACAAGTGTTGAACTCTGAGAGCTCATTTCATCTTCAGGAATGCATAAGGCAACCTGATATACAATTTGCAGGGTTGGTGTTTAGGTGCTTGAGACAAATATGTTCTTTTTGCTTGCGAACATTACCTTAACAACCAGGAAACGACGGCAACGACAGCTTTTCGCCATGATACCGACCTTCGTTGCTTCCTTTGTAGCCGTAGCCAAGGTATTTATTGAGTGGAGGCCCCCCACGTGCACGTTCAAGATCGCCTCGGCGTGCTCCAGAGGCAAGTCGGAACACGTTTGGATTTACAGTCTCAATTTGGATATCTGGGATATCCGAATAGTTTGTAAATGTCAGATATTAACTACTTCATGGGTGAAATCTCTTTGCATTGTGAAGTTTAGCCTTTGCGATTTCAATCCTAAAGATCTTGGGATGGTTTATATATATATATAATATTATATAATATTATATAATATTATATAATATATGTATTTCATCAATTTTCATCACCTGTTTGTCAGGAACCGGAGAAAATTGCAACAAGCTTAGACTTCTAGAATCACTCCCCTTTTCCTTCAAAATGCCCAGAAAAACACGTTGAGAATAAACTTGTTCCTTGATCCATTGTATTCCATTGTCTATATGCTCAGGTTTCACGGATGGCAGCTGGCACATCTCGGCAGGCTTCAGAGTCTTCACAGCCACCGGCTCAGCCGGCTCAGCCGGCTGATGACTTGGAAGAGGAAGAGGAGGAAGAGGAGCAACCGGATGTTCTTCTACCTGATGAGGCAGTCTGACAACATGACAAAATTTATGTTGAGATTCAATATAAACAAACTGTACGTACATATTATATATATATATATATTATATATATATATGTCTTTTTGTACCAATGTGAAATGATGGACACATAACTCTTCACCTTTAGAAAGCCTGAAGCACAGTTCCACCATCATTCTAAGGTGGCGGAATCCTGGCAGTAGATTCGTTTGAGACAAACAAGGCATGATCCAATTCAGCTTGTACGGCGTACCATGTACCTTTCTGTCCATGCTAAAGAAACCCCCTATATGCCCATAGCGTTTCTTGCGATCGTGCAGAATCAACCACCAACCAATCGCCAACCAATCACCAGCCAGCCTTTCTTCGATCCTCAGAGTCCTTAATCCGAAGAAACCATTTAAACGCAGTGCAGTTGCTGCGTGTGAAAAAGCTTGGCCAAATTGGCCAAATTGGACAGGTTCAGGAGCAGCAGAGGCAGCAAATCAGAGATATGCTTCAGAATCCCGAGCACCTAAATGCGATCAATCGCTTGGAAGCGTTGGGCTTTGGAAGAACTGAGGTGCAGAGCAAGACAGGGCAAGACAGGACTTCCACCAGATGGCCTTGAAATTGGTGGTTTTTCACGGAACCGTGACTACAGACTATGTAGCCCTGATATCCTTGTGATTTTGCATGTCGTTTTGATATGTTTTGATATATATATATATATACGTCAGACGTTGCCGGTTCCATTCAACGTAGACGTAGAAAAAAAAACATGCTCAAAAACAACGTCTACGTTAAATAGTGGGAGAGTAAGTATCAAAATCAAACATATGGTATCATTGTATGACATTATGATAATATTATATCAATTTGTATCACACACACACACACATGACCTATGCTGCCTGCAACGATGCGAAGGCCTGCACGGCCTACTTGGTCTGCGATATGAAGGCGCTGCAGAGGTTGATGGTGATTTAATGTGAGTTTTTCATGGGGTATGAAGCCATTTCATAGGGATTATAACTATATAACCAAACAAATACTATAATTTTGTACCATATGATGGGTGTGTCTAAAATGGGTATACCCTCCGGAATGGTGATCTCAAATGCTTTTGATGGGGAACATGATGATTGCCCAATGGATTTAGAGGTAACCAATGATTGAGACAAAGCCATGTGAATTGTCCTCGCCAAAAAGACTCGGATCCACCCAGGAAGAGGTTGCCGCCAACTACCTCTTCGACATGCAAGGCCAATGATCGAAAACAACGGTCCATGTGCGTACGAACTTGGGTGAGGTGGGTAAGGCTGAAATGCATCAAAGGGAGTACAACAACCTGATAGCGTCAACTCCGCGAGTTCTGTGCTTTGCTTTTTGTTGGCGCGGAAGCAACGTCCAAAGTCCATGATGCATTCTTCTTTTGCGGTTTCCATTTTTCTCAAGCAACTTTTCCAAGAGTTTTTTTCTTGCCCTGCACGGTTTCCATTTTTTTCCTATAGCCCAGCCCAGCCCAGCACAGCCCTTCTCCCCCTCCTCATCGCCATCATCATCATCATCATCATCATCATCATCGTCATCATCATCATCATCATCATCATCATCGTCATCATCGTCATCATCGTCATCATTGCCATCAAGACCAGCACCAGCACCAGCATCGGCATCAGCACCAGCATCATTATGATCATCATGATCATCATAATCATCATGATCATCATGATCATCATGATCATCATGATCACCATGATGATCATCATCATGATGATCATCACGGTCCTCATGAGGTGTGAATTGGAACCAAAAGCCCAAGAACAAAGTTGATGTGGCCCACAGCTATTTAGCTCTCGAAACCCCTCGAGAACTCTGCTCACAGCTCACCATTGCTCAAGCTTTCAAAGGCCAGAGCCCAGTGTGTTTCGTTTTCAGAAGTTGGCTGAGTTTTTTTTGCTTCGAAAGGAAGATCAAGTCATGTGGATGCCATTTCAGGCCCAGAGAAATGGCTAACCTGTTGCGCTTGCTCTTCTGCGTTGTTGTGGCCTATGGTGCAGTGGTTGAAGAGGAGATGAATGCTTTGCTGGAAGACAGCTGCGAAGGGGAATGCACCCTGTCCCTGCTTCAGACGCTTGGCACTCCGATATGCTCCAAAGATCTCCAAAGCCTAAGAGGAAATACACAATACACAGAAATAGGACTTCAATAAGATACACTGTTAGTCGCTCAGTCACGGTTGACGTTCGAAGACTTACAGAAAGACCTGAAGTGTCCTGAAGTTGAGTCATTTCGACCAAGATCCACCATCCACCAACACAGTGCCAAGGATCAAAGCTGCTGGCCTTGAGGAGGACCCCCCCTGCAACGATTGGGTCTCGTACCTGGGCCACTTTTCACATTGGAACTTCCCTCTTTCTTGAGCAATTGGACCTTCTTTGTGAAATTGTGTGAATAGGTTGCAAGGAAAGTACTCAAATTTTCTGACCTGTGGAAACGTCTCGGGACTTTGGCAGTCGAGGTATGATGTTTTTCACTGGGGATTGCAAGCCTTCCAGTTGTCCTTCCTGTTGTCCTTCCTGGATCGTTGTTGAATGATGAGGTGCCCATCCGGTGCCAAGTACTATCTTGGACAAAAGTGCAACGCGGCGGGCATGGTGTGTGCCGGTTGCTAGGCATGCAGAGGATCCTGCATTTCTGATACAGTCATAGTGTTGAGACCTATTCAGACCTAGTGAGAGATATTGCGAGCTGTTGACAGCTGTTGAGACCTGTTGGGACTGCTTGATTGCTGGGAATGGTCGTTGACATTCACTGACAATCAAAAGTTGTGAAGTGTCATGAAATGTCTCGACCACTCGTGACGACTAGTGACCGCTCGACCACTCGTGACCACTGATGCCATTTCGTGAAAACTCATTAGCACTCAGCCATGCATCTAATGATTCTAATGGTTGAGAAGTGCTGTAGGGCTAACGGCTATAGCTGCCATGTCACCCTATGTAATCGTATGTAACCGTATGTAACAGTATGTCACCGTATTGCACCTTATGTCACCATATGCCAGCATGTCACTAAATGTGGACATTGCGGCAGCGCAAGGTTCGATCCAAAAACGCTCATGCCTGAAATGGGTCAACTGCAAAAACAGTTGCTATTGTGCTCAATGGGCGAAGCTCCTGGAAGAAGAGAGTGAAGTTGAAGCAAAGGCATGAGGGCAGTGCAGACCATCCTTTGCTCGATACCGTCTGGCTACCCTGCGGGTGTTCAAAAGTATCAACCGCTTTCAAGCACTGAACGTTCGAAATGCTGAGCAAAAATTGCAGACTTGTCTGGATCGCGTGGATTCTCAGGGTTGGCTTGGGGTTGTCTGGGTGTTGGCTGGCTTGATAGAACTTAGACTTAGACATCTTGGACGCTTTGATTTTCGTAAAGCCAATATAAGGTTATGGATTCCCAGTACTCAGGTTGGCTTGGGATTTAGAAGCTCAAGAGTAAAGTTGATGGAATATTGCCATGTTCAGGACTTCCACAGGAAGAAAGGTGCCTAGCTGAAAAACTGTGGCCCACAGCTATTTAGCTCTCGAAATCCCTCGAGAACTCTGCTCACAGCTCACCATCGCTCAAGCTTTCAAAGGCCAGCCCAGTGTGTTTCGTTTTCAGAAGTTGGCTGAGTTTTTTTTTGCTTCGAAAGGAAGATCAAGTCATGTGGATGCCATTTCAGGCCCAGAGAAATGGCTAACCTGTTGCGCTTGCTCTTCTGCGTTGTTGTGGCCTATGGTGCAGTGGTTGAAGAGGAGATGAATGCTTTGCTGGAAGACAGCTGCGAAGGGGAATGCACCCTGTCCCTGCTTCAGACGCTTGGCACTCCGATATGCTCCAAAGATCTCCAAAGCCTAAGAGGAAATACACAATACACAGAAATAGGACTTCAATAAGATACACTGTTAGTCGCTCAGTCACGGTTGACGTTCGAAGACTTACAGAAAGACCTGAAGTGTCCTGAAGTTGAGTCATTTCGACCAAGATCCACCATCCACCAACACAGTGCCAAGGATCAAAGCTGCTGGCCTTGAGGAGGACCCCCCCTGCAACGATTGGGTCTCGTACCTGGGCCACTTTTCACATTGGAACTTCCCTCTTTCTTGAGCAATTGGACCTTCTTTGTGAAATTGTGTGAATAGGTTGCAAGGAAAGTACTCAAATTTTCTGACCTGTGGAAACGTCTCGGGACTTTGGCAGTCGAGGTATGATGTTTTTCACTGGGGATTGCAAGCCTTCCAGTTGTCCTTCCTGTTGTCCTTCCTGTTGTCCTTCCTGTTGTCCTTCCTGGATCGTTGTTGAATGATGAGGTGCCCATCCGGTGCCAAGTACTATCTTGGACAAAAGTGCAACGCGGCGGGCATGGTGTGTGCCGGTTGCTAGGCATGCAGAGGATCCTGCATTTCTGATACAGTCATAGTGTTGAGACCTATTCAGACCTAGTGAGAGATATTGCGAGCTGTTGACAGCTGTTGAGACCTGTTGGGACTGCTTGATTGCTGGGAATGGTCGTTGACATTCACTGACAATCAAAAGTTGTGAAGTGTCATGAAATGTCTCGACCACTCGTGACGACTAGTGACCGCTCGACCACTCGTGACCACTGATGCCATTTCGTGAAAACTCATATGACTCATTAGCACTCAGCCATGCATCTAATGATTCTAATGGTTGAGAAGTGCTGTAGGGCTAACGGCTATAGCTGCCATGTCACCCTATGTAATCGTATGTAACCGTATGTAACAGTATGTCACCGTATGTCACCTTATGTCACCATATGCCACCATGTCACGAAATGTGGACATTGCGGCAGCGCAAGGTTCGATCCAAAAACGCTCATGCCTGAAATGGGTCAACTGCAAAAACAGTTGCTATTGTGCTCAATGGGCGAAGCTCCTGGAAGAAGAGAGTGAAGTTGAAGCAAAGGCATGAGGGCAGTGCAGACCATCCTTTGCTCGACACCGTCTCGCTACCCTGCGGGTGTTCAAAAGTATCAACCGCTTTCAAGCACCGAACGTTCGAAATGCTGAGCAAAATTGCAGACTTGTCTGGATCGCGTGGATTCTCAGGGTTGGCTTGGGGTTGTTTGGGTGTTGGCTGGCTTGATAGAACTTAGACTTAGACATCTTGGACGCTGGATTCCCAGTACTCAGGTTGGCTTGGGATTTAGAAGCTCAAGAGTAAAGTTGATGGAATATTGCCATCTTCAGGACTTCCACAGGAGGAAAGGTGCCTAGCTGAAAAACTGTGGCCCACAGCTATTTAGCTCTCGAAACCCCTCGAGAACTCTGCTCACAGCTCACCATCGCTCAAGCTTTCAAAGGCCAGCCCAGTGTGTTTCGTTTTCAGAAGTTGGCTGAGTTATTTTTTGCTTCGAAAGGAAGATCAAGTCATGTGGATGCCATTTCAGGCCCAGAGAAATGGCTAACCTGTTGCGCTTGCTCTTCTGCGTTGTTGTGGCCTATGGTGCAGTGGTTGAAGAGGAGATGAATGCTTTGCTGGAAGACAGCTGCGAAGGGGAATGCACCCTGTCCCTGCTTCAGACGCTTGGCACTCCGATATGCTCCAAAGATCTCCAAAGCCTAAGAGGAAATACACAATACACAGAAATAGGACTTCAATAAGATACACTGTCAGTCGCTCAGTCACGGTTGACGTTCGAAGACTTACAGAAAGACCTGAAGTGTCCTGAAGTTGAGTCATTTCGACCAAGATCCACCATCCACCAACACAGTGCCAAGGATCAAAGCTGCTGGCCTTGAGGAGGACCCCCCCTGCAACGATTGGGTCTCGTACCTGGGCCACTTTTCACATTGGAACTTCCCTCTTTCTTGAGCAATTGGACCTTCTTTGTGAAATTGTGTGAATAGGTTGCAAGGAAAGTACTCAAATTTTCTGACCTGTGGAAACGTCTCGGGACTTTGGCAGTCGAGGTATGATGTTTTTCACTGGGGATTGCAAGCCTTCCAGTTGTCCTTCCTGTTGTCCTTCCTGTTGTCCTTCCTGTTGTCCTTCCTGTTGTCCTTCCTGGATCGTTGTTGAATGATGAGGTGCCCATCCGGTGCCAAGTACTATCTTGGACAAAAGTGCAACGCGGCGGGCATGGTGTGTGCCGGTTGCTAGGCATTCAGAGGATCCTGCATATCTGATACAGTCATAGTGTTGAGACCTATTCAGACCTAGTGAGAGATATTGCGAGCTGTTGACAGCTGTTGAGACCTGTTGGGACTGCTTGATTGCTGGGAATGGTCGTTGACATTCACTGACAATCAAAAGTTGTGAAGTGTCATGAAATGTCTCGACCACTCGTGACGACTAGTGACCGCTCGACCACTCGTGACCACTGATGCCATTTCGTGAAAACTCATATGACTCATTAGCACTCAGCCATGCATCTAATCATTCTAATGGTTGAGAAGTGCTGTAGGGCTAATGGCTATAGCTGCCATGCCACCCTATGTAATCGTATGTAACCGTATGTAACAGTATGTCACCGTATGTCACCTTATGTCGCCATATGCCACCATGTCACGAAATGTGGACATTGCGGCAGCGCAAGGTTCGATCCAAAAACGCTCATGCCTGAAATGGGTCAACTGCAAAAACAGTTGCTATTGTGCTCAATGGGCGAAGCTCCTGGAAGAAGAGAGTGAAGTTGAAGCAAAGGCATGAGGGCAGTGCAGACCATCAGTTGCTCGACACCGTCTCGCTACCCTGCGGGTGTTCAAAAGTATCAACCGCTTTCAAGCACCGAACGTTCGAAATGCTGAGCAAAAATTGCAGACTTGTCTGGATCGCGTGGATTCTCAGGGTTGGCTTGGGGTTGGCTTGGGGTTGTTTTGGGTGTTGGCTGGCTTGATAGAACTTAGACTTAGACATCTTGGACGCTTTGATTTTCGTAAAGCCAATATAAGGTTATGGATTCCCAGTACTCAGGTTGGCTTGGGATTTAGAAGCTCAAGAGTAAAGTTGATGGAATATTGCCATGTTCAGGACTTCCACAGGAAGAAAGGTGCCTAGCTGAAAAACTGTGGCCCACAGCTATTTAGCTCTCGAAATCCCTCGAGAACTCTGCTCACAGCTCACCATCGCTCAAGCTTTCAAAGGCCAGAGCCCAGTATGTTTCGTTTTCAGAAGTTGGCTGAGTTTTTTTTTTGCTTCGAAAGGAAGATCAAGTCATGTGGATGCCATTTCAGGCCCAGAGAAATGGCTAACCTGTTGCGCTTGCTCTTCTGCGTTGTTGTGGCCTATGGTGCAGTGGTTGAAGAGGAGATGAATGCTTTGCTGGAAGACAGCTGCGAAGGGGAATGCACCCTGTCCCTGCTTCAGACGCTTGGCACTCCGATATGCTCCAAAGATCTCCAAAGCCTAAGAGGAAATACACAATACACAGAAATAGGACTTCAATAAGATACACTGTTAGTCGCTCAGTCACGGTTGACGTTCGAAGACTTACAGAAAGACCTGAAGTGTCCTGAAGTTGAGTCATTTCGACCAAGATCCACCATCCACCAACACAGTGCCAAGGATCAAAGCTGCTGGCCTTGAGGAGGACCCCCCCTGCAACGATTGGGTCTCGTACCTGGGCCACTTTTCACATTGGAACTTCCCTCTTTCTTGAGCAATTGGACCTTCTTTGTGAAATTGTGTGAATAGGTTGCAAGGAAAGTACTCAAATTTTCTGACCTGTGGAAACGTCTCGGGACTTTGGCAGTCGAGGTATGATGTTTTTCACTGGGGATTGCAAGCCTTCCAGTTGTCCTTCCTGTTGTCCTTCCTGTTGTCCTTCCTGTTGTCCTTCCTGTTGTCCTTCCTGTTGTCCTTCCTGGATCGTTGTTGAATGATGAGGTGCCCATCCGGTGCCAAGTACTATCTTGGACAAAAGTGCAACGCGGCGGGCATGGTGTGTGCCGGTTGCTAGGCATTCAGAGGATCCTGCATATCTGATACAGTCATAGTGTTGAGACCTATTCAGACCTAGTGAGAGATATTGCGAGCTGTTGACAGCTGTTGAGACCTGTTGGGACTGCTTGATTGCTGGGAATGGTCGTTGACATTCACTGACAATCAAAAGTTGTGAAGTGTCATGAAATGTCTCGACCACTCGTGACGACTAGTGACCGCTCGACCACTCGTGACCACTGATGCCATTTCGTGAAAACTCATATGACTCATTAGCACTCAGCCATGCATCTAATCATTCTAATGGTTGAGAAGTGCTGTAGGGCTAATGGCTATAGCTGCCATGCCACCCTATGTAATCGTATGTAACCGTATGTAACAGTATGTCACCGTATGTCACCTTATGTCGCCATATGCCACCATGTCACGAAATGTGGACATTGCGGCAGCGCAAGGTTCGATCCAAAAACGCTCATGCCTGAAATGGGTCAACTGCAAAAACAGTTGCTATTGTGCTCAATGGGCGAAGCTCCTGGAAGAAGAGAGTGAAGTTGAAGCAAAGGCATGAGGGCAGTGCAGACCATCAGTTGCTCGACACCGTCTCGCTACCCTGCGGGTGTTCAAAAGTATCAACCGCTTTCAAGCACCGAACGTTCGAAATGCTGAGCAAAAATTGCAGACTTGTCTGGATCGCGTGGATTCTCAGGGTTGGCTTGGGGTTGGCTTGGGGTTGTTTTGGGTGTTGGCTGGCTTGATAGAACTTAGACTTAGACATCTTGGACGCTTTGACTTTCGTAAAGCCAATATGAGGTTCTGGATTGTTTGCGAGCGAGACTGCCCCTGTGTACTGCAAAAAGATAAGAGTTGTGAATTGTCATGGGAGTGAAATCAAGTGAAATCTCCTTGCACACTAGCCAAAAGAGCATTGAGCATTGCATTATATAATGTAGGCTTAGATGCCTGCGGTCGTGCTCATTCCTGGCTCGTGGGCTTTGTCTCTAGTCTTCTGTGTTGATAGAGACATGCCCCAAACAATGAACGCACCAGAGATTCACTCAGATCTATAAGTCCCAACCCGGTCATCACGCTGAGATGATTTTGTACTTCACAGACATTCCCCAGGTGGTATTTTGTCCTAAGCACTCACAATAAATTCAATAAACCATGCAACTTCTAAACTTGTCTGTATAGACGCACCTTACCTAGGCAACGCTCATTTTTAGTGGCATCAAACACACTGTAGCCACTGAACTTGGACTGCTGAAAGCCATGTCTGTCAATCGCTGCTTAAAGTGAAGCATGCTCTTGCCGTTTTACGTGTGACTTGGCATAAGATCAGTAGGGACAGGTCAAGTATATAAATGATGGGCACAACCAACAGAGAGCATGATGTGCATTGTGGCTTGTACACGCGAGTCTGAAACTAGAGCAGTTGCTGCTTTTGTGATGACACCGAGGTAGGCGATGTCATCAGCGGAGGCCGCCATTATTCTGTTTATTCCTGTTTTGAGCGCTTGGACTGGATCACTGGATGAGCTTTGAACGGTAGGAAGATGTGAGAAGAGTGCAGACCGCAGATGTTTCTTTTCCCCACTTGTGTGCGGCGTCATCTTGAAACCGGAGCCGAGGTCTTACCACCATGTTAAGTATCATGTTAAGTATCATGTTAAGTCATTTCAATATATTTCAATCATTTTCTAACATGTTTGAATCATTTTCAATGCCAGGCCAGGGGCTCCCAAAGTTCACAGGCTCCAAGGAGTCAAACTTCCTTTGGCTCGCGGCAGCAAAGTCCTGCACCACGGAGAACCTCATTGAGGTAGGGCAAAACACTGCACTGTACTTCTTTGGAACGCCTCATGATGTGAACAGCATGCAGAAAGGCTTTGAATTTCAAGTTGAATCATGAAAAACAGATGTTGCATGCATTCGCAAGGAATTTAGCTGAGCAGAACAGGACCAGATTTGTATTTGAGTCATTTTGAGTCTTGGAAGTTGCAGATGTTGCAGGCAATTCGGCAAAATTGTGTTTGGCGACAACTTTCCCGGTACAAGTAGAAGAGAGTCTAGACCTTCACGACGCCGATCACAGCAGTCCTCAGCATCTGCTTTGGCCCTAGGGCAGGTCTCAGTTGGGCAGCTATCACAGGGGACCATGTTTCGAATGTTAAGCAGCTACCCCAAAAACCTTAACAAGCTACAGGCCAAGAGTCGGCTGATTTTCGGTCGTTTTCTGTTTCAAAGCATGGAACTCAATCAACAGTTAGTTGCAAGTTACAAGTGAATTATCAGGTTACCCCGAAAGTTCTGGTCCACTGGGTTTACTCCCTGCAGTGCCACCACTGCCGGGTGCTCCCATAGGGTGCTGCCAGTAGTTGGGTGCCGTTTGCAATGCTGATCCAATAGTTGAAGGAGTCAATAAATTTAATGCCTGTTGGACTATTTTTTCGCGATGAAAACGCATTCATAGACCAACTATTCGCGAGGGTATGGTTTTTCGCGATGAAAACGCAAATTTTCGTGTTCTCAGAGGAGTTTCAAACCATACCCTCTGGTCATCCCATGTTCCTTGGCTCCCAGGCCGCGTCCAGCCATTTGAGCACCGCGGGGTCTTTGGAACTTCCCACATGTTTGCGCGAGCAGATTGCTTCACGATGGCAGAACACCACAAGGTTCAAATTGAACAAATTGAACAAATTGAACAAATTGAACCAACCTCGAAGACTAAGACAAAGGCACCTAGACACATAGAGACTTACACAATCACATGTACAGGATGACTCTGTCAATATTTGGATGAATAAGATAATTGCAAAACTCTTCGCACTGCTTGGTTGTGCCATACTGCTCGCCAGATTCTTCGCGAGCTCAGCAGTACCGCGAGTATGGGTGAGAGCGATCAGGCTACAACTTGGGGATGGAAAGCCTGGGTTTCAAACTTAATGATAGAATTTTGATATACCATGATATCAATATATATCAATGATATCTCATGTTTTTGCCTGCTACACGTTGTTTGTTGTGGCAAGCACACAGGACCAAAACAAACTAACTGTATTGCATCGTGGGATACACATAATATAATATATCATATTACGTACGTCAAGATGCATTCTATGTCTCTGCAATGTGCAGGCAAGCTGCATCATGGCAAAAGTCTACAGAGTACCTCATCACGTTCTCAAGAGGGGATTTGCGAGGCGGCAAGTTCTTTCGTAGTTCATTGATGTTCATTGAGGATTGAAGTATGTTGAAGTAAAGTGAAGTGTTTCCCTTCTTAGAGCACTTTGTGTGTTTGTTTCGGGCACAAGGTGGCATTTCTACTCTCGGGGTTGTGCACAGGTTGGAGATGCGTTTCTCTCCCGACTCCCACGGCGAGCTTCGTGCTTCACTGGTCCGGAGGGGAAATGCGTTTGGTCATGCTTCAACTGCTTCAACTTTCCATTTTCAGGAAGACAATACTGAGACATGCCATGTGCTGTGTTTCAGATCCTGACGACTCTGCGAATCTTTGACGAATACTTTCGCACTGGTCGCACCAGAGCTGAAAGGCACCAGCAATTAAGTTTTGTGTGCTGAGGAATTGCAAAAAAACTCCTACCATTTCTATCCATTTCTTATCCTAATGTCCAGTTTGAAGCTTGTCATGATGGTATTGTATGATGTTGAGTGTCATGGGGGCTTGTCATGAGCTAATTTCTCCAAGATAAGACCAGAGAGACTCATACAGATGCTGCATTACTTTGAGACACAACTGGGAGTCCGCTCCTTGAGTTCCCTCAGCTTAAAGCATCATTTCCCTTTGTGCATTGTTCTGCAAATTTGCGGAGGCATTGGATTGTTGATAGACTGGAGACTTCCATGCATGACTTCACCAAAAAGAAGTGGAACGCCTTCGGCTCAGCTACCTTTCATCCATCCTGATTCCTTTCAGTTTCTCTCAGGTGTCAGCTGTGGGGGCTACACAATGTTATTTGCTGTTTCGCACAGAACAGTTCTCACAGCTATTGAAGATCAATTCGAATCAACGTGATTGAATCCGTCAATTCGGTTTGTCTTTGTCTCCCTGCAACTTGACAGTACGGGCCTGGCCCTGCCAGCTGGTGCGGGCTGGTGCCGGCTGGACCCAGGCTGACGAACTCTTGAATGCGTTTGGCGTCAAGTCAGATCACTCAGAACAGCTGAACAGCCCATGAACATCCCGTGAAAAGCCCGTCGAACATGATCAAAATTGATCAAACCCTCACATCCAAAAGTTCACGTTGTTGTCCGAGATCCTTGGTTTGGCCGATCTCTGTCAAAGATGTGTTTCAATTTGCCGCTGAACTTTTCAGGATGAATATGTGCGAACGGATCTACTTCACTGTGGATGTCAGTGGCACCTCAAATCTTCTTTCACGCTTTGTGCACCCCTGACGTGCTTGGCTGAACAGAGGATGAACCATTGACATAGCAGCATGACAAGCATGGACTAGCATAAACTACAAAATCAGGAGAAATTTAGGTTCTGGACCAAAAACGAACGATAAAGATCGAGAGTCGAGAGTAGACTCCTGAGTAGACTGTAGACATGTGCCAGGAGTGGCTTTATGGTGATCACCATCATCATTAGCATTGCTGTTTGGATGGTCTGAAGCCTGGCTTTCTCCTGCCGGATGTTTGTCGGAACATTTCGGAACCATGAGTGATGACTGAGGCTGGCACTATCCCAAGATATACAGTGGTGCAATGTCCCAGCTGTGACCCTGAACCATTGCCATGGATGCAGGTGCGGACAGCACAAAGGGTTTGAGATGTCATAACTAACGTATTTTGCTTGACACTGCATTTGGATGGCTGTGCTGTGTGCTTTTGCCTTGTGCTGTTGTGAAGTTCAGAATTGTTGTTGCTGCCCAACCCTTCTTTGCTGTCAACCTCACGTAGGTCGTGGACGAAGTGTGTGTCATCATTTTCACAACGGAATTCCTGATCAGGACAAGCTGCACAACTTTAAACCGGGCCTTTGTTTGATTGTGTTTGCTGTCTCAGTGTTTCGTTGTGTTTCAACTAATAGTTAACTAACATCATGCAATAATATATATATATATATACACAGATCCTAAACATGTATATATATATATATGTATATATACATATATATATATATATATATATCAAACATCACATCCTGTCGTGACTCACGTGCCTCCGCCGATGATCCTAGGATGCTCACAGCGCTCTTTGCACGGGCCAAGCTCCTGCAAGGCCGTTTTCTCGTCTCGAGCCTGGTTGTGACGAATGTGATGAATGTGACGATCCAGAATAGATAACATATGGTTTGATCAAGCTTGATCATATCGAGAATCCACACCTCGTTTCTTCTCGTGCTGTCGTTGGGAAAGACATGGGACAGAATGGCACAGATTGTCGCCCTGCCGCCCTGTGATCCCAATGCGCGGCTGTGCTGAGTTGAAAATGCTCTTTGATCGGGACATCAAGGCTGAAGAAAAGGCGCTTGATGCAACGATGAAGTACTGGGGTCAGCAAGAGCAAACATGTTTGTTCTCAAGAGCGCTTCCAAATTCTGAAAGTGGTTTGTGCAGCAAGCATCTTCAAAGGATTCAAAGGGCAGAAACTTTACTAAGCCTAAGCCACGGAATCCGTCAGGTTCCCTAAGTCTACTTGGATTTTGAAGGTCTCAAGCATTGACTTGCTGCAATCCGTCGGCATAGTATGCACCTCCCAGTTTTGAGCGTGAGGAACACTTGGATTCAGAGCACGATGAGGAGGAAAGCGAGGATGTAGAGATTGAGAAGGAACGCTTCTCTTGTGGGCCTGGCTGACTTCTTTTCAGCCGCCAAGGGCCGAGAGTCAAAAATGCTCTGACTGCCAGCAGTCTGCTCAGCTCAGCAAACATGATGGGATAGCAAACTGCACATCGTTTTATACTTTGGACTTTTGATATATTTTGACCTCATAATCCGATTCAACTGTAGCTGTCTGGAGCTTTAAAATCTTTAAATTACAGTAGCCACAACTGTACGAGAAAAACATTGTTCTCGCTTCACCTAGAGAAAGTTGGCTGTATGCCCTTGGAGGGTGGAGCTGCCACATGATGCTGGCAGCGGGTGCCAACAGCTTCAAACAAATCGGGGTTCAGACATGTTCAAACTAAATACAAGAAATCAGATTTTGCCCTGCCTTTTGGCACAACTTGTTTTGTTCGAGTTTGGTAGTGACTTTTTCAGCACACATCAGTGTGACTAAGCAAACCTTTCAGTGCCTTTGTCAACGTCGATGTGCATGTCGAAAATTATTGCTTCCCGCCATGCTTTAGAGATTTGGGGATGAATTTGATTGGTACATGGCAGGGATCTCAAATTGGTTGAGTTTCTGGCGGCAACCCAACGCCATTGTGGACTTATTCACTGTATTGCGGTGCTCCCAGTTGGATAGTCGAGAGGAGTGGTTGGTAGGTGACCAATCTCAATTTAGGATTTTTCATTCTATCATACAAGGAATCCCATGTTTTCCAATTTTTCAATCATAGAAGAAGTAGCAGATTCTAGAACCGCTCCCACGCTCTCACTCTCTCGTGCACTCTCCCTCTCTCTCCTCTCTCTCGCTGTTTTGGTTTCTGTTTGGAAAGACATCAAAGGACCTGCCGTGAGTGATATGATCTGATCACTAGCATCGAAATTACAATTACATCCACACGGCACTTTTTTCTCGTCATTGTTGAAGTTTTTGAGTCTTTTTTTAAAATTCCATGCGTGTCAGCTCCGTCCCCAGGCCGTACTGGGTGGAGGTCGTGTTTGCTACCTCGGCTGACCCCAACTTTATTTGGTCCGGATCCCAGGCGAAATGCTTTCATGATCTTTCATGATTTCGGGGCATCAATTTGACAAAATCGACAAATGCTTGCTCAGATTTGCTCAGACTCAGAGAGACACCACTTCTGTGACCAATGACTGAGGCTCCGCCTCTTCAGATTGCTTCGCGTCAGTCGTATCTTCAAACTGCCACAACCTCAAAAATCTCAAAAAAAACAAAATCCATCGAGAAGCAAAGTTGATACAACAGAGTGTTGGAAGTCTGCGACGCTTTGACATACATGCATGCAGGATAAAGGAGATTATAAGAGTATACAGATGTGCATTCATGTAAAGACCTGCATCTTGCGATTCAGGTTGCAGCTCGTAAACTCTGACTTGTGGCAACTTAGCGATGCTCAGCACCTGTTGTACAACGTCATGATCCAGGCACCTTGGCAAGTGTACCAGCCTTTTCTTCCAGATTTTTTCATCTGAGTTTGGCATAGTGGCTTCACAGCGTGCCATATGAGAACTGGATTTCACATGATTTCACATGATTTCACTAGTGACTTAGTGACTTTTTACATCTTTTTACAGTGTCGCTGATCCTTTGCTGATTCCGAGTGATTTCTGAGCTGGGCCGCTGGGCTGGGCCAGGCTGCTCCTGCCTTTGCCATCACATTGGTCCAAGTCTCGGCGCAGCCCTTCGAAGCCACCAGCAAGCCACACCTGGGACATCCTACTCTGAAAATAGGGAATTACATGATTTACCATGGTATAATATGGTCTAATATGGTCTAATATGGTCAAATATGGTCAAATATGGTCAAATATGGTCAAATATGGTCAAATATGGTCTTACATGGTATGATGAGTATTATGATGTATTATGGTAGACCCCATTATGGCCACTTGAATGGGACTCTGATAAGCCACCAAAATGTTTGGTTTCATAGAACCCCACCGAGCTTTGAGCGTCCAAGCATATCCTGAGGCTTTGCTCGGCTTTGCACTTTTGGTGTTCAGTTCCTTGATGTATCCCAGCTGCAAGGAGCTATAGTCGCTGCCTTGTGACATGAGCCACGATCATCCAGACTTGCCCAAGGTACGAGGCTGAGCGTGGCAATTGGTACCCAGTGTCCAGACCTCAACGTTATTGCCTGCCAAGACTGGACCCTGGTGGAATATTTGTATGATCATGTCTACACAAGACTTAGGGACCTTCCTCCTCTGTAAAACTTGGTGCTTATTCAAACAAGCCACTCTCTGATCATTCAAGACACTTTTTGTGCAATGACCCAAGCGTATTCCGATGATCCATGGCGAAATGCAGGGATCTGGCTCAAGCTGCTTGTGTTGACTCTTCTTCATTCTTTTTGGTGATCTTTCCAACATCATGGCCCCTGCGATGAAGGCCAAGAAGGTTGCCATGAAGGCCATGAAGGGTCAAAAGGCCATGACGAAGGGAGGTCTTCTTGGTGAGTTGGCCACTGCAACTGAGCTCAAGAAATCGGACATTTCCAAGGTCCTGAACACTTTGGCTGAGATTGGCACAGAAGAGGTGAAGAAGTCTGGCAAGTTCGTTCTTCCAGGGCTGTGCATGATCAAGACTCGCCAGAAAGCAGCAACCAAGGCTGGCAAGAGGTTGATGTTCGGCCAGGAGGTGATGGTGAAGGCCCAGCCTGCGAAGACTGTGGTGAAGGCAGTCCCTGCGGCAAGTTTGAAGCGAGAATTTTGAGGTCATATTTCTCTGACCCATGGAGCTGTAGCCTGACAATTCTAGTGGCACCTTGGGGGATTGGAGCACGACTAGCGTTTGAAGGTGCAGCCTGTTGTACACTAAGCCATGCACAGACTATCCCGCGTTGGGACAGTTGCGATAAGGCAGACGGCAAAAAACACTGCAGCAGAGTGTTCATGTGCTTTTGCATTCATCCAGATCGATCACAACTTATCATAGATATCCCATGCTAATTCAGAAGTTTTGACAACTTTTGCACAATCAAGAGCTTTCGTTTTTTGGGAATCTTTTTTATCAGGGTTGCTTTGACAGATGTATGATTTCTGCTTGTGCAAATTTTAGACTTTGACCTGACGGCTTTATTTCAACTCTGAACACTTGTGAGGAATGGGTTTTTTTTGTCTTGGTTGTCATCGTTTTGCGTTGACCCAAGCGTATTCCGATGATCCGTGGCGAAATGCAGGGATCTGGCTCAAGCTGCTTGTGTTGACTCTTCTTCATTCTTTTTGGTGATCTTTCCAACATCATGGCCCCTGCGATGAAGGCCAAGAAGGTTGCCATGAAGGCCATGAAGGGTCAAAAGGCCATGACGAAGGGAGGTCTTCTTGGTGAGTTGGCCACTGCAACTGAGCTCAAGAAATCGGACATTTCCAAGGTCCTGAACACTTTGGCTGAGATTGGCACAGAAGAGGTGAAGAAGTCTGGCAAGTTCGTTCTTCCAGGGCTGTGCATGATCAAGACTCGCCAGAAAGCAGCAACCAAGGCTGGCAAGAGGTTGATGTTCGGCCAGGAGGTGATGGTGAAGGCCCAGCCTGCGAAGACTGTGGTGAAGGCAGTCCCTGCGGCAAGTTTGAAGCGAGAATTTTGAGGTCATATTTCTCTGACCCATGGAGCTGTAGCCTGACAATTCTAGTGGCACCTTGGGGGATTGGAGCACGACTAGCGTTTGAAGGTGCAGCCTGTTGTACACTAAGCCATGCACAGACTATCCCGCGTTGGGACAGTTGCGATAAGGCAGACGGCAAAAAACACTGCAGCAGAGTGTTCATGTGCTTTTGCATTCATCCAGATCGATCACAACTTATCATAGATATCCCATGCTAATTCAGAAGTTTTGACAACCTTGGCACAATCAAGAGCTTTCGTTTTTTGGGAATCTTTTTTATCAGGGTTGCTTTGACAGATGTATGATTTCTGCTTGTGCAAATTTTAGACTTTGACCTGACGGCTTTATTTCAACTCTGAACACTTGTGAGGAATGTGTTTTTTTTTGTCTTGGTTGTCATCGTTTTGCGTTGACCCAAGCGTATTCCGATGATCCGTGGCGAAATGCAGGGATCTGGCTCAAGCTGCTTGTGTTGACTCTTCTTCATTCTTTTTGGTGATCTTTCCAACATCATGGCCCCTGCGATGAAGGCCAAGAAGGTTGCCATGAAGGCCATGAAGGGTCAAAAGGCCATGACGAAGGGAGGTCTTCTTGGTGAGTTGGCCACTGCAACTGAGCTCGAGAAATCGGACATTTCCAAGGTCCTGAACACTTTGGCTGAGATTGGCACAGAAGAGGTGAAGAAGTCTGGCAAGTTCGTTCTTCCAGGGCTGTGCATGATCAAGACTCGCCAGAAAGCAGCAACCAAGGCTGGCAAGAGGTTGATGTTCGGCCAGGAGGTGATGGTGAAGGCCCAGCCTGCGAAGACTGTGGTGAAGGCAGTCCCTGCGGCAAGTTTGAAGCGAGAATTTTGAGGTCATATTTCTCTGACCCATGGAGCTGTAGCCTGACAATTCTAGTGGCACCTTGGGGGATTGGAGCACGACTAGCGTTTGAAGGTGCAGCCTGTTGTACACTAAGCCATGCACAGACTATCCCGCGTTGGGACAGTTGCGATAAGGCAGACGGCAAAAAACACAGCAGCAGAGTGTTCATGTGCTTTTGCATTCATCCAGATCGATCACAACTTATCATAGATATCCCATGCTAATTCAGAAGTTTTGACAACCTTGGCACAATCAAGAGCTTTCGTTTTTTGGGAATCTTTTTTATCAGGGTTGCTTTGACAGATGTATGATTTCTGCTTGTGCAAATTTTAGACTTTGACCTGACGGCTTTATTTCAACTCTGAACACTTGTGAGGAATGTGTTTTTTTTTGTCTTGGTTGTCATCGTTTTGCGTTGACCCAAGCGTATTCCGATGATCCGTGGCGAAATGCAGGGATCTGGCTCAAGCTGCTTGTGTTGACTCTTCTTCATTCTTTTTGGTGATCTTTCCAACATCATGGCCCCTGCGATGAAGGCCAAGAAGGTTGCCATGAAGGCCATGAAGGGTCAAAAGGCCATGACGAAGGGAGGTCTTCTTGGTGAGTTGGCCACTGCAACTGAGCTCAAGAAATCGGACATTTCCAAGGTCCTGAACACTTTGGCTGAGATTGGCACAGAAGAGGTGAAGAAGTCTGGCAAGTTCGTTCTTCCAGGGCTGTGCATGATCAAGACTCGCCAGAAAGCAGCAACCAAGGCTGGCAAGAGGTTGATGTTCGGCCAGGAGGTGATGGTGAAGGCCCAGCCTGCGAAGACTGTGGTGAAGGCAGTCCCTGCGGCAAGTTTGAAGCGAGAATTTTGAGGTCATATTTCTCTGACCCATGGAGCTGTAGCCTGACAATTCTAGTGGCACCTTGGGGGATTGGAGCACGACTAGCGTTTGAAGGTGCAGCCTGTTGTACACTAAGCCATGCACAGACTATCCCGCGTTGGGACAGTTGCGATAAGGCAGACGGCAAAAAACACTGCAGCAGAGTGTTCATGTGCTTTTGCATTCATCCAGATCGATCACAACTTATCATAGATATCCCATGCTAATTCAGAAGTTTTGACAACTTTTGCACAATCAAGAGCTTTGATTGGATCCACAATGTCTTTAAGAAACTGGCAAAATAGAGGTGCTGAGTGTTCAGAGATTGACCATATTAGATCGATATCATATCCCCAGGATCCAGTGAAATCCAGTGAACTTCTGGCAGAGGTCCGTCATTGATGGGGCCAATGCCACGGAGTTTGTCAACTTCTCGCAGATCATCAACCTCCCCGCAGCTCAGAGCTTAGAACCGCAGCCCAAATCAAACACCGCGTGCCGCGTGCACAGCACATCCAGCTCGCTACTTCCCTTCGGCCTGTAGAACATCGGTGCATATTTAATATATTTACAATTATGTATATTACATTATATTACCCATTTTATTACACAATTACATAATATATATATAATATAATATACTACTATAGATTATATAATACATATATACATACATATATATATATACATATATATATATATGTATGATCATTTTGGTGCATCGTAATGTGGTGTATAATATTTTCGTGCTTGTTTGCGTCAGCAACGAAATTCAGGTTCAACATGAAGCAAACCGCGCTGGAGGTGTTTTCCTGCGGGAGTTGCCAGCGGCTCACATCATATGCTTTTGCACTGGAAAACAGAAAAACTGCAGAAACAACATTCCTTTTACCGACTTTTACCGACTTTTACCGACTTTTACCTGAAACACTTCGTGGGTTTCCATGATGCAGGCAGTGCAGCTTTGAACACGCATCCCAAGGCCAAACGGCTACTTGGAGATGACTCCGTTCACGAGCATCCTGGTTTGCTCGTGGTGGACTCTGGTGACCCGTAGCGAGATTTGGCCGACGCTGCGTAGTAGGCATGAATTACAGTTCTGCAACATTCACAGATCACAGATATATGATGTTTATAAATTTTCTATATGTTTATGCCAGCGGGGTGGAAAACCGCGCCAGTAGTCGTGCACGTTTTTGAAAACACGCATATGCTCCGTCACGTCTGGGGTTGTGTGTGTGTGTGTTAACGTTCATGTTAACTTGCTGCACATGCACATGCTACGTCACGTCTGGGGTTCGGGGGGGTTTTTAACGTTCATGTTAACTTGCTGCACATGCACATGCTACATCACGTCTGGGGTTCAGGGGGTTTTTTAACGTTCATGTTAAGTTGCTGCACATGCACATGCTACATCACGTCTGGGGTTCGGGGGGGTTTTAACGTTCATGTTAACTTGCTGCACATGCGCATGCTACGTCACGTCTGGGGTTCGGGGGGTTTTAAACGTTCATGTTAATTTGCTGAACATGCGCATGCTACGTCACGTCTGGGGTTCGGGGGTGTGTTGACGTTCATGTTAACTTGTCGCACATGCACATGCTACGTCACGTCTTGGGTTGGGGGGGAGTTAACATTCATGTCAACCCAAAGCTGATGCGAAGCATCAGGGTCTGGCAATGGCGTTGGATGAACTCCAAAGCAAGAAACCTTTTTTGGAGGTCACTGGTAGCTCTTTGAAGAAGCGCATGGTCACGTGAAAGGAGGAAAACATCGCGCGAGTTTTCAACACCAATTTCCCTGTAAATTGAAGGAGATCATCAAAAATGCACTTCCAATCCCCGGTGATTTTTAGTTTTTAAGCACTTTTTGTGGAATGGATCTATAGTTTCGTTATGGCGACAACATTTTTCTTCAAAAGGCTCACAGCCGCTGGCGCGGTTTTCCCCCTGACGGGATGTTTGTGATGTGAGATGACTGTCAAACCAATGTGAGCTTGGCACCCACTTCGGAGACTGTCAAGACTTGTGCGCCCAATGACCTGTGCTGCAAGCGAACAACATGAGAACCTTCAAACATCTTCCATATGTTCAAATATATTTTCTTATTTTTCTTATTTTTCCTTTTTGCCATCCCAAGAGCCTTACAACCTGAGCCGAGATTCTTCTTCTGACTACAGCTAGCCGCTAGCCATGTTTTCGCTCGGATTGTTGGCTCAAGCCTTTCACGTTCCTCTTTTTGTTGCGCTTCTTTGGAGGCAGAGTTGTGAAGTGGCAGGAATACCTTCCTTTAAGCAGCTTGTGCAGGAAATTTGCAGGAGTGAACAGTCTTGGAGTGGAGGTTCGTGTTTACCTGCACTCGAACCTGCAGCGGCAGGCGTTGAAAAGCGTTGATGGCTCGCTTTGCCCTCTTGGCGCTGTTGCCGACAGCACTGGCAGACCTGGAGAAAGCCCTAAGCCAGGACATTGTCATGACCCGACTCCCGACTCATGACCTCACGACCCGAACCATTCTTTGGACAATTGTTTTTTTCTCGCTTTGCTTAAAGGCAAGGCAGCAACGTCTGTTCTTTTAAAAATTATGACATCCTGACAAACATCCTGAAATATCCTGATCACACCAGTGGTGAGCTGGAGCACAGGATGAGTGCACTGATCCAGCTACATGCTCTCTGGAGCTGCTGCATATGAGAGGCAATTATGCAGAGAGTGCGGATCTCAACAGCTGTTGTAACAGTCGAAAAGGCACAACAAGTGTCAAAAGGTAAGTCAGGTACACTATAAGTGAATTTGGACCTGTGAACATTTCTGAACACCGTGACTACGACTGCAATGCTTTCTTGGTTTGAGGCAGCCCCTGTCCGTTTATCACCTGATGAATAAGTCCGTCTCATTGCATATTAATGAATTTTCATGGTGTATGGCATATTCTTCTTCCGCGAACTGTGATTTAGAGACGAAAGATCTAGAGCTCATTGGCCAAGTACAACCCAGGTGATGCCAAGGTGGACTACCAGCCTGGAAGAGAAACAGGTGTGAAGTTATTGGACTGTTATGGATTGGTACAGTAAGGTACTTGTACGTATCATGGGAGTGGCTTTGATTAGAAACAGACGAAAACTGGCAAACTGCTTCAGGATTGTTTTTTCCATGTTTCTCTGGAAATTAGCGCCAATACTTACAGTGCCGCGAGACACTGCCTTCGCCTGCGCTGTTGCAAGGTGTTTCCTGCATGTGGTCGGGGTGTGATTCAGCAAAGCTGGGTATGGTGGAATGCCACCACTGGCGCTGTATTTGCCAAACCACGGCCAGATGGAGCCCATGCCTCAGTGTTTTCATCCTATCCCCGAAAGCCAACTTCAGGTCCACGGTTGGATTGGTTGGAGATGTCCTTTACCTACTGTTACCTACTGGTTGCTTGATCAATGGAGGGTAACAGAAGCGGCTAACCACCCTAGCCAATAGGACGTTGTGGGTTGGATGGTGATGGTTGGCCTGTGAGGTTCTGATCTGAAGACCTGCGTGAAGGCAGAAGAGCCAGCTGAGGGCCAAGACACAGGCTCACAGTTCAGATGTGGGCCATGTGTCGGTTGGCCAGTTGTCATATGAAGGTATCTTTGTCGGTTGGCCAGTTGTCATAGCTGTCATAGTCTATGACAAGAGCTTTCCGTCGGTTTCCGTTTGAAGGTGGCACCTGCGGTTGGTTCGCCTGCAGCAAGACCCGTGGACCCACGAGGCATTCAGAGTGTCCCAATAATGCCAGGGGTTGTATATGTTTTGTGTTATCATGGCTATCATCTAGGGCCACA